GCCAGAGTTCCGAAGTTCTTGCCTGAATTCCTCAAAACTTGACACATTCTTACTTGGGTCATTTAGCGCATTACCGCGTTTCGTCTTGATGATTCTACTCGCGTGTGCCCTCTGCTGGCACAGCTGCTGCTTCAGCAGCAAGGGCAGAAATACATCGACCTTGCCGTTAACCGTTACATTTAGTCAGTGAACTCCAGGCTAAATCTGGTGCAGTTTGTCATTGAAAACACTGTAAAAAGAGAAAAATAGGTCAGCGTTTATTCCTTGATCTTCTACAACTTCTGTAGGTCTGTGGGAGAAGAGTCATTTATTTATGGAATAAATGAAAGGTTCTTTCATATTTTGTTACCTAGATAATTGTATAGCATAGCACAGCCAAGCCATGTTTTTCTGTGCTAGGTACTGGGCAAACAGTGTTTATAGCTGTTGACACTCTCATATTTTAACTCTGGTGAGTTTAGCCTCCACCTGCTACACAAGTGATACAGTGGTAGTCAGAGCATCCATGACTGTGCTTGCAGTGGTTCTAGAGAAGCATTTCCCCACAGCCTCGGACATTTCTACAACAGCAGATCTGAGGGGTTTGTAGATAGGTATGAAAGTCATGTGGTTAATGTCACGCTGTCCTTCTGCTTATTCACAAGGTTAACCTTGTGCCTGCTGGTGTGGAAGACCTGGTGTCCATTTCCTAATGCAGGTAGATTTTTAGTAGTGGAAGCTCTAGGTTTTTTTTCCTGATCAGGTGGTGTTGAGGAGATGTGGCTTTTCAGTAGCAAACTCAACGTTACTAAACCATGCCAGGACTACCAGTTTCCTACTGTTCAGCAGATGTTTTATAGCTGTGAATTAATATGGGCTACTGATAATTTTCATATTTACACACTGCTTAAGACATTACAGTACATAATAAAGAGTCAGATCAAGCTAAGCTATAGCCAAGATACTGAGGGATCAGATAAACCTCGTGGTGCAGCCTCCTGGCTTGTCTTGTGGACTGGAGCGTGTCTGAAAGTGCTGAGCCCCTGACAGTGCTGCCACAGGAAGGGGAAAGGAAGATGTACTGTGCTGGTGGCTGTTCATTTCTCGTTCGGTAAGGGCTGGCTGCCTGGGGGAGGACACGAGTCCTCTAGTTCCTGGTTGTAGAAGTGGGAACTGACTAGGAGGAATAGAAGTCTAGTAGGCAAGACTTTAACTTCATTTTTAAAGGGACACTGGGTTTTCATCTGTGTCTGCTGCCTACCAAAGGCTCTGTGGCTTGTTACGCAGAACTTGACCTGCCCCAATGGAACCCACGGGAACAGTACTGGGCATAACAGCACACTCGGCTGCATCGAAGGCTTGGGAATGACACCTGCACAATACAACTTGTTGTATGCAATCTATGCTTGGACGTAAGTCGCTTTTCTCTTGCTTTGAGGGGTGGGGTAGCAACAAAGCCAGTTGCTTCCCAGCAACAAGACACCAATGTTTCTGTTCTTGTTTTCTCCTAGAAATGCAGTAGTGGTTATTCTGGCTGGATTCCTGATTGATAAACTAGGAAATCGATGTAAGTTGTGTGGACTGATTAGTTTATTCTTATACTGAAGTGGGATTTCAGGCTGTTCTTTCAATTCAAAGGGGTGATCAAAGGTTCCACGTCAATAAGTTCACAGAGGGATGGGAGAGGAGGGACGGTTCTGTGAAGCATGTGACTGTTAGTTTAATAGCTCCCCAGGGCAACCAAGACATTTTCACCATTTCACCACTGACTTACGTGAATTTGCATAGCAGTGCAGTAAATGTGCTTTCCTCTGACAGGCGCATTAACAGGGAATAGCATTATCAGTTTTCTATGGGATAAACTGATAAAGCAGTGTCTGTTCCCTGCTCTGACATTTGTTCTGGCATGTGCCATAAATCTCAGCCCCAGCAAATGCAGTTGTGCTCTGTCTCTGTGTCACTGTGGTAAACATCCTACAGATGAGAAGACAGACGCACGGGGAAGGAGATGGCTTGCTCTAGGCCATAGTCTGTAGTGAAAATCAGGACAGGAACAGGGACTCCAGAGAGTTCAGAGTCGTCTGTCTCACCCTGCCTCTCGACCCTTCCACCATAATAACAACGTCAGTATTTTGAGGATTCCCAGGTAATTTCATAAAGAGACCTGTCTTCAGAAAATTAAAATAATGAGGTAAACTGATGGAAGCCCACAGGTACTCTGGTGTGTTCTGAGGTTACTCTTTTGCTTTTTAACGCAGAATGCTTTTGTCGTTATCTCAGCATGTCTGTTGAGGTTTGTGTAGTTATTTTTTTCTTCTGTTTCTCCCTAGTGGGTGTCTTTGTTTTCTCTCTTCTGACCGTGCTGGGATCATCAGTCTTTGCTTTAGGCGCACATTTCAAGGGGTCGCCATACCTCCTACCAATGATGCTAACAGGAAGACTGCTCTTCGGCTCTGGGAATGGGTCACTTACTAGTAAGGAATTCACATTTCTTAATTGCACCTCACTGAAGGGTGGTCATGATACATTTGTATTTTGCCTCCTAAACCCTTGTCCTACCAGTCAGCTTCACCTGCTCTGTACCAGGTGCTATGTTGCTAACAGAACACTGCTTCTTGAAGGGTTGCATGGATCTAATGTGTGCTGAAATTTTAAAAGTCTTCCCCTCTAATAGGTTAGTCCTTCTCCCAGAGGTGGGGACTGATGGGACTGCTATGCCTCTGGGGTTATTTTTGCTTGCCTTGTTTGAGGGGTAAGTTCACCTCCCATGTCCCAGCATCATTTAGCACATTTTAAAATGGACTGTGGAGTTGACAAGTAATGCCTCCACTTGGAATGTGTAGAGGTCTCTTACCCCCTCTCAAGCACTCTGACTTGAGAGTGTGTTTGTTGCTCCTGTGCAATGCTCTTGACCACTTCTGTCTGTTCACAAGAGGAATTTTGTCTTCAAGTTGTGCAGAATCGTATCACAGCCTTCTGGTTCAAGGGGAAGGAACTGGCACTGGCATTTGGACTGACTTTGTCTTTCTCACGACTTGGGAGTGTCCTCAACTTCTTCTTCACCCAGCAGTTTGAGTCAAGATTTGGAATACAGTGGACACTCTGGGGAGGTGAGTTTCTCTGGTGCTTTGGCCTTTTGTTTTTTGGACTTGAGGCTAGCCTGTTCTGTCCACTTACGAGAAGTGCCTGAAAGGGATGGTGAAGTTAGCAGGAGGAGGTGCATTATTTTCTAGTTTTTCCTGTTACTTTTCTGTATGCAGTGATGTTCTCTTCATTGGTGCCTCCACACTCAGGAATTTCTAACACCTCTCTGCTTTTTCCAGGTACCCTGCTCTGTGTGCTTGGTTTTGTTTCAGCCCTCACAGTCAGTGTACTAGATAAAGTGGGCATGAAGCAACTGGGCTTTTAGGAATCCAAAAACGTGGTAAGTGTTGCACAGACAGCTTTTCCATCTCGATCTGTGAAAGCCTGGGGTGTGGGAGCATTGCTTTTGCAGTGCAGGGAAAGCTGTAGTGAAGCTGCTCCTGGCCAGGAGAGGGCATTTACACTGGTTAAACCTTGCAGAGCAGTTCTTCAGGTAAAGCTGAGGTTATTGCACCTGCAAGCTACCAAACAAGTGTCAGTTTTCTGTTTGGAGACTGTGTATTTGCAGTCTTCAGAGAGCTGAGTTACCACTCTAAATGGCATTACTTTTCTGAGCCAGTTACTTCTTGATTGTAGGTGGCTCAGAGGAGGATTTTATACATAAAACTAGAAAGCAGCCTCCCTTGGGAAGTGCTTTCTGGCTCAAAGGATCCATGATAGAAAATAGCTGATCTGGTCAGTGCTGAACTGTCTTTTGCCAGCTCTTATCTCCCATTCCTCACTGCATTCTTCTATCTAGCAACAAGCATTACAGGCAGTAGGTTGCAATCTTTATGGCACTTAAATCTCTTAGCTTCCTTCTCATGATATAGTTTTTACTGGTTTCTGTAGCTTAGGCTTGTGATTCCTGTTTGTCCTGTATCTTTCAACTATGTTTCACTGAAGTTTTGCAGTAGGCTGCAAAACAGTCTCTTGCAGTCATAACCTTTATAAAACTGGGAAGAAACCTTTTGTTTCGTTTTGTTTACTGAGTACTGTTGACTAAGGAGTGCTTTGGGAGTCAGCACATGCTAAATTTTACTCAAATGTACGTAAGCTGTCTTTCAATTCCCTTTTACCTGCTGTTACTTCTTACGTTTTTTGTGACCTTCAATGGCTGGCAGAAAGTGACATTAGTGTGAAGCTGAAGACTGTTTCCTGGTGAGTGAGGGCACATCTTCTCTTTGCAGCGGATTCAGGACATCAAGCGACTTCACCTCTGCTACTGGCTCCTGGTCCTCACCATCATGTTCTTCTATAATGGGGTCTTTCCCTTTGTGGCAGACGCCAGGTATTGCTCTATGACTGTAGTCTCGCCCATCAAAGCCTTTGCAGGCCCTTGATTTTTCACTAACTGGGAAATATGGGGGTAGTATGCATGTTCCTTGCAGTCATGAAGCACAGAGAAAGATGACTTCAGCACCTAGTCAAAGACAGGAGAGTGCTTTGACCTTTCATTCCCTTCAAAGATGAGGGAGGTTTCTAAAGGAAAGCAAAAATAACTTAAAGGGAAATGATTCAACCAATATTTAAAGCTTGGAACACTGCCAATGGAGGATTAGAACATTTGGGAGAAGGGGAAGAAATCCTTTATTTAAATCATAGCCGTAGATATTTTACCTTTCTGATAGTCCAAGGAAGTGGCTGTCTATGGAGCAGGGTGGGTGTGTTTGCTTCACAGGCCTGGGGCAGTTCTGTCCTGGAGTTCCTGCACATTGTCTGCTGTGGTTGGAACAAAGTTAAGTTGGCATCAGTCAGGGTTTGCAGGTGAGGAAGCCTTTGTGTCCCAGTGCAAGGTTTTTGTACTTCCTTTTTTATACCTTCATTTGCTTAGAACAAAGCAGCAACCTGCCTGACTAAACTGGGACTCCTGCTTCTGTCCTGTGGCTCTGCCATAGGCTTGTCATTTTGCTGCTTTTCTCCTGTTTGTGGATGATGTGGCTTGTATCCCTACTGAGCATTAACTTTTATATTAGCAAAGGCCTGCCATAAAAAGAAGAACATTATTTTGCTAGTATTTCATGAGTGACGTATAGCAAGCCACAATGAAATTAGGAGTGAAGAAACGTCATCACCATTGTCATATCACACGTACAAGTGACCTCTTACCAGTAAAATAAAGACACTCGAGATGCAAAGATATCCAGGCCTGAGGAGACAGCTGCCCTTTCACTGTCACTGTGAACAGTCTCCATTGATCACACAGAGTCCACATTTCTGCAGTTCTGCTAAGCTGCAGATTTCGGGGTTTTTCCTCCCTGTGGAGCAAAGTTCAGGCACCAGGAGTCACGTTTAACACTGGCAAAAAATGCTTGCTGCTTCCCAGGTGGGAAAATAATGGTCCCAAGGCCACAGGCGTGGTGACTTCTGCTGCAGTAAACTTTCAGGGAACAGTGTCTTGTTTTATAAACTCTGCTGCCAGCAGAGGTCTAGAGGCTTAGTGGTATGAAGGGTAAGCAGCCATGCAAGTGGCCAAACCAGGTTTAAGTAGCTGCAAGATCTCTAAATAAACTAGTGTCCTGGATTCAGCTGTAACTGTTGTTTTTCTCCTTCCTAGTAGCTGGTGCAGTGCTGTGTTTTTGGCTTTAGTCTGAGAACACTGCTGATAACACACCAATGTTTTTAGTAAGCTAAGTAATGCTTTTAGTAGCTAAGTAATGCTTACTCTGATCTTTCTAAGCTGTGGCAGCTGTATGACTGTAAGTTCTATAATGTTACAGAAAGTTTTAACACCATTTTTGCACACCCTTAATGAAGGAGGAAGGCTTACTTGTGACAATGAAAACACAACTTGGTTTGGATGCTCTCTGCTCTAACCTTAAAAGATGCCAAGGTGGGGAATCTTAATACTTCTGAAGTGCAGGTGTTCAATTTAAATGCTGATCTTTGCTGTTGGGTTATTTCTAACTCTTTTTCCTGCCCTTCAGCATCCTCACCCCTAGATTGATAATGATTTCTGCCTCTTCAGAGAGAATGTACAAAAGCCATCTGTGTGTTTTGGACAGGTGACAGCAAATCACTGCTCCTGAGCTGTGCTGATGTAATCGAACATGTGCCCAGCTTTAACCTGCAGTTCTACTCTGCACTTGCAGAAGCATCTTGAAAATGGCCATTTAAGCACCAGCTTTACTGGGGTACACCAGTTAAAAAGAAAACAGAACAACAAAGGCTTGGCCCTACAAACCAGATGGAATCAAACTTGTTTACAAGTGTGCACATTAAAACCCTTCCTGTCCATATGTTTGTGCTCAGGCTGACTTTTTGACAAAATAACCAGATCAAGAATCCTAATTATCCCCCCCCCCCCCCCCTTTATTTTTAGCAAGTTTATCCAGGATAAATACTCTGGTTACAGTCAGCAGGAGGCCGCTTATATTGCTGGGGCAGTGTATGACAGCTCCCTTGTTCTCTCTGCAGCAGTTGGCATATTAATTGTGAGTACCCAAACCCAGAAGTGCTTGCTGACTTTCTGAAATGTCTTTGTTACAGCCTCCTTAACCAAAATTTAGCCTGTTGTTGCTGAACAGCAGTCCTTTAATTCCTTGCAAACTGCAAGAGGCACTTTATTCTGAATTAATTTACAAGAAATAATGTTAACCTGTTTTTCCCTCTGTCCCTAATTGTGCTCTGCTAGGATTAAAGCATGGGAAGTGTGGTATGTTTTGGGAAGTCTGAGACTGGAACAGAAAGGATCAGAATAAGCTTTGCATGTAGATGGGAAGGATGACCTGCATGTCATCAGTCCCTGTTTTGTCAAACTCTTTTTTTTCCTTATTTCCCTAACTGTCAGGGCATAATGGTGGGGGTTTCTTCCCCTTTATTAAAGCTGCCATTTCACATGAATAGTGGACACTGATTCTCTGACAAGTGTTTCAGCCTCAGTTCAGGAGGACACAAGAGGAACTAGTAATAGCCTACTAAAATATCGGCAGCTAGGAAATGACATGTCACTGCCAGTCACTCCAGTGCAGTCTGCACAGCCACTCCTGTCACCAGGGCCTGTGGGAGGCTGGCGTCCCTTGTAAGAGGCCTCTGTTTCCTTTAACAGGACTATATTGGACTGAGAGGCGTCTTTGCTGTTGGCTGTGCTGCACTGACTCTGCCAGTCTTCGCTCTCCTGGCATTTACGTTTGTGCCTCCGTTAGTTTCCACTGTCTGGTTGGGGATTACTTACTCCTTCGCTGCTGTAAGTTCACAACTCTTCTGCTGCATTTGGGTGTTTTGGGGCTGTGCTCCTCCCTTCTGGGTGGCCCGTGTCACTGATCTGGTGTCTGGATGAGCAGGTTTAGCAGCCACAGTTTGAAGTCACTGGCTCCCAAGTCCTGCAGACTGGTTAGTAACAAATAACCCCAAAGAATATGGAACAAAATGCAAAGCAGAGTAAGGGACCATTTGGTACAGCATGAAGCATTAATCTATCTGTGCTTTTCTTAGTGCTTTTTTACCTTGAATGTAATACCTGAATGTCCTTTGATTCTTATGAGCTAAGTCATTAGGTCTAACTCCCCTTAAGCAATCTGGAGTCCGGTTATTCCCGTTTCAAACAGCATTTGTTGTCTGTGCTGTCTCAAGCTGCTTGAAAAAATCGGGAACAGTCTAGAACCAGGCAATAGGTTGGGAGGTATAAATACCAGAAGTTTTGAAGAGAAAGTATAAATGTTTATTTAGTGGGAATAATTCCTTTTTAAACCAATGACCATCTTACAGCTTCAAATAAAGCTGTGATTCCTCTTCTCATTCCTCCCTGCAGGCTAGTATGTGGCCATCCATACCTCTTGTGGTCCCCCAAGCAACCTTAGGGACAGCAATGGGGCTTGCGACTTCTGTGCAGATGGTTGGAGTTGGCCTTTCGAATCTGATCGTGGGACACATTCTAGGAACACAGTCCAGGTGGGAATGCTGATGCTTATTTTTCAAGCAAAGACATCAATCAACAGTTCTTGAGTGGAGTGGTGTGAACAGAAATCAATGTATTTGCAACCTAATGCTGCAAGAGGGGCCTTAAACATCTTCAGGTGACTGGTTGTTCTATCCTGTTTTGGCCTTTTCTAGTGAATTAAAGATTCCCCTGTGGCGCTGGCAACAGGTGATGATCTTTATGTTGGCAAACACCATAGCATGCATTGCTGCCTCCATTAGCCTTAATGTTGTGGACAAGAGACAGGTAAGCGTGGTAAGAGGTAAAGAATAGCCTGGCATCACCAACTTGCTTTTATTGATCTAACAGCTGTTGGGTGTGTATTCCAGCAGTTCCCCCGACATAAAAATGGGACTGCATAAAAAGAGAACTACACTACTGCCACAGCGTGTAGTGGTCTTACCTACTATTGAGCTGCTGGTGGCTGTAGTTTTTGGCAAAAGGCGAGGGGCAGGGCAAAGACGCAGCTGTAGTAGTGTATGTGTACAGGAAGAACTGTCTCCTTTTGGCCACTAATTGCTCCTTTGAATTTCTAGGGTGGAACACTGAACAGAACAAGAAAGGGAGCAGGTGTGGAGCAGGACAGAGGCCCTGCAGATGCAGCACCACTCTTTGGTGATGGAGCAGGGGACGAGGGCTCTGTCAGCTGAACCTTGGCTGTATGAGAACAGTGACAGCTGCCAGGCACAGCACTGATCACTTCTACTTCAAAGTAGGCTTTTACCCTGTGTCTTTTAAATGTCTGTGAAGGGAATCTTGAAGGGAATTGTCCACAGGAAGTTAACATTTCCACTTTGCTATGCCTGGCAGACAAGTGGGAAGTGGTTTCCGTGTGGTTCTTGGGTATTCTCCAGCACGCAGAAACCTGCATGAGGCAGCACTTCAAGAACAACACTACAGTGAGTACAATGGACCCAGCTGAAACTTGTTCATAAGCCATTGGAGAGCTGCTTCCCAATCTGGCACCAGCACTGCCCACAGGAGCTGTGCCTGCCTGCTCTGCTGCTCATCTCCATCACGAGAACCCTATACGTCAGCCCTTGCTAACCCCCAGACCAGGGTTCCACTCTTCCAGATAAGCATGCAGCTCTCACTAATTACATATCCACGCAAGTGACACCATCACCATGCTTTAGGCAGGAGACAGAATTAATCATGCTGATTACCTTTTGCACACAAGCCAGGCTTAATTGCCTATTACCTTACTAGAAATGCTTCCATAAGCCAAGCCTGTTCATTTGCCTTCAAAAGCATAAAAGGTTTTAATCCGGAATTCTGTCCTTTAAACCAGGAGGCTCTTTACTCACAAATGCCGTAGGCTTATTTTACTCAGCCAGCTGCCTTCTGGACTATGCAAAATGCTCACATGGACTCACACAGAGTTTACAAAAGCACAGAGGATGCTTGAAGAATGAAGTAAACTTTAATAGCCAAGCACAGGGAATGCTGACGTGAATGATTTATATAAATTATTACACAGTCTTAAGAGAAAGAACAGCTCTGCTCAAGTTGCATTTCATATAAACACTGTAGATTGAAAGCAGTTGAGGCAAGGGCAGCATCCAGTTATGAACTGATTCACTGGAGAGAACGTGCTCAGAGAGCAAGGTATTCCAACTTTCAAGTAAGGCTGTGAATTCATTTCACACCACAGACAATTAAACCTCTGTGTTGGAGTCTGGTGCAGCAGAAATTTGGGGGTGGGGTGAGAGTCATTGAACTCCAAGATCAGACTCCCTTTAGTTTGGTGGTGACCTCCTGAGCTCATCTGGTCCAACACCCTCTACTCAAGCAGGGTCAGCCGGAGCAGGTTGTCCAGGATTGTGACTGATCGGAGCTTGAGCATCTCCACAGATGGAGACTCTACAACCTGTCCTGGTGTTTGATGTCCTTCACAGTAAAAAAGTGCTTCCTTGTGTTCAGGTGGAATCTTGTGTGGTGCGATTTGTGCCCGTTGCTCCTCATCCAGAGCAGAGCCTGGCTCCTCTGTCCTCGCACCCTCCAGCAGGTCTCACCACCCCAGGGAGGTCTCCCTGAGTCTCCTCCAGGCTGAGCAGCCCTGGCTCCCTCAGCCCATCCTCCTAGAAAGATGCTCCAGCCCTTTAACCTCTTTTATGGCCCAAGACTGAACTCCCTCCCGAAGCCACCTCTCTCTCAGTAGGGAAGCTCAAAATTACTCCAGTACACCTGGAATGGTGCTCACGAAAAGGCCCCAACCTCAACTGCCTGCCCACGCTACCATCCCCTCTCATTCCTTTGTAGGGATCAAAGGTGCTTGTCCTATGAGCTGGACACCCCATCTCCAAAGCACACTCTCAGTGCAGAGGCCAGAAGATATTTGTGCAATCTTTCCAATTGGGATAACAAAACTCACCGGTGTTTCTACACTGACCTAGGAACCGACTGATGAATAAAAGCAGACATCTGCAGCACACAGTGAAGTAACAAAATACAGAGGTTTATTGACAATTGCATTATTCATCATTTGATTTCCAATCCCCCTCTGTCCCGGAAAAATGCTCTTATCAATCCTATTTGATGAGTTAAAAACATGGTTTAGATTCCAAAGAAAGAAATGCAAGAAAATTAACCTAGATTAACTAATTTAAGGCCTAGTTGGAAGTTTCTGTTTAAAAGACAGGCACTGCAGCCAATGCACAGCAGGTATAAGAAGATGCCAAGCCTAAGCTCGGTGCTACAGTTGATGTCAATTACACCAGCCCCTTCAGTGCAGAAAGCAGCCTTCGATTGACTTTTCCACGTGGTGGCCTCCTAAACCCTGTCAATTCCTGGATGAAGGAACTGAAATGGATGGCTCAGACTCAGTCACAGGCTAGCCAGCACAGACTCAAGCATTGCTGCTAGGAAAGACAAATTTGGAACTAACTAAAGTCCATTCCAGGGTTGCAGTTAGGACCCCTCTTTTCCTCCTGTTTTCCCAGGAGGTCAAATGACAGGGAACTCCAAACCTATCTGAAAGGTACAAAGACACTGAAATCCCAGCTTTTCATGGCTATTTCTACTCTTAGCACAGCCCAGGTATTTCATTTCTACTATCTGGAAAGGGACTAAGTCTTCATGCAGACATCCACCACAGCTGACATCAACTGGACTGAGCCCTCAACTAAGCACTATCATCACAGAGTGTGTTAGCCCCTGTCTCAGAGCCAGTCCCCAGGGAACTTGGGCTAGAGCAGCAGCAGATAGAGGCAGGTAAGGCCACTTGTTCTTTGGTGAACCTGAACAACTTCTGTTTCGATATGTCTAATGTAAAAAGTCACTATGAAATCCATTGAACGGTAAGCACCTCATGTTAACAATCACAGCTCATAGCTCTGGATATGATCAGAAAGTTCATTCAGAGAACAAATGATGGGAGCTACCCTCCCCAACGCGTGTTTGCTCAGAACACGCACATCTTCTAAACATGATTTAAAAGCCAGCATAACCAAAAGGTTGGCATCACTAGTCTTTGTTTCTCCAACTAGGATAGTCTACAGCATGTCTCACAACAACTACAGCCCTGGTTTGGGAGAATCCATGTACTTCTCCCAACCTTACTAACAAAAATCTGAGGCAGTCAAAGGCAAAAGTAAGGCTGACCGAAGACAAGAGTCACTAACACAGTCAGCACAGACAAACAAATGCACTGTGGTAAAGCCAGCAGAACTAGTCTTGGTTTCTGCAGGGTACAAAGGAAAAACCTGTGTAGAAGCTGAGGCAGTTCTATACTGGTTGGGTCAGAGCTAGTGGCTGGACACTATTGGACACTCTCTGTGGTAATTGTACACTTTAAGGAGCTTCTGTTCAAAAAGCACCATAAAGCTATTGTTTGCAGCCACATCTTTACCAGAAAATGTGAAAGCACTCAACCAGGATACTTGAAATAAAAGTCTTCTAGAAGCACCTTCATGGAGCAGTGTGTTAGACTGATGCCATCACTGTTCAAGAGCTAGTTGTAGTAATGGGATTATTGAAGGCATCAGAAAGGCCTGAATACTCTGGGGAGGGGAAGACCACTGTATTTATTAACCTATGATGGTTCATGAGTATAAAAGAAACTTTCAGCATTTGTTGGCCTTGTATCAGCAATCATGTGCTGCAAGGCAAGAAAGGAGAAAAAGAACCAAAGACTGAAGACACTCAAACCCATAGCACCATAGTTCCAGTGGAATGTATTCACATTCAAGTGACTGCTACCAGCTCCTGTGTGAGGCTGCATTCTGTGCCCCAGAGAGAGGCACAGCCTACCTGCCTGCTGCAGAAGCTGTCAAGGGTGGTCTCTGGGTCCTCACCATTCACCATATTTTACATGTTGACTGTATGGATGCACCTGACTCCACAAGAGCATCCTCAGCCAGTGGCTAACAGAGAAACCCCGGCCCAAAAC